ACTCACTGGATCTGCATCTTTTTATGTCCAACATGTTTTTGGATGACACATAAGATAATGAAGCATGAATCATATTCACTCTACCCCCTACATGAAGGAAACTCACTAAGAGAAAATTTTACACAAGCATTCAAGTAGCATTTTTAGAAGCCTAGCTTCTCCATTATCAAAACTATAGCATCCACTGAAGTCACTTCAATTGATATCAATCTTACCATGCATGTCACTTCCACTCTAAAAACCATTACCTAAGAGGATCCTCATCTTCAAAACTAGAAGAGGATAAAATACCTAATAAGCTCATGAAGATCAATAGCCAATATTATTTGTATCAAGGGTAAACATCAAATACTGCATGTAAATGAAGGCAAAACTATCACATGGGTTAACCCATAGTGTACCAATTGGGAAGTCTATTTCTCAAAGAACAAATTCTTCTGGTATACCAAGTTCCATTTAGAAAACCACACACTTGGTGAAATTATAAGAAATCTTATTGTCATATATAGCTTCTTCCCATACTATCATATATCCATTTTAGCACTTACCTAATTGTATTTGAGAGGTCTTTTAGATCTCTGCTTACCTTGACAGATGGTAAGTTCTTGGAAGTCATATCTATCATTCCTACCCAATGTTAGTCCATGACCTTCAGAGACTTCAAAATAAAGGTCCATGATTCACTTCCATTGGAATCATCTGGAGGATGGGTAAAATGAAGATTCCTGGACCCCACCCCCAAACATAAGAAACTGGCATATTTTTAAGGATTTCTAACATTTCTGATAGGGCCTTCAAACGGCATCAAGGAGATAATGAATCCAAAAAGCATAACTACCTAAGAGTTATAAGCTGATATTTCTTCTCCTTACATTATTGTTTAGAAACTACTGCCATAAAATTGGTTGAATAAGAAAATGTCACCCTGGGTAAACCTTCATCTAATAAGCAGAAGCAGCTTATGACTATTTTATCTTAGAGTACCCTGGCATTGCATATCTCTTTTTTTTTTTTTTTTTTTTACTGAATCAAAGCACATAATTTTGGGATTTTCATTGAGGAAAAAAATACATTGAGAAAAAATATATAATAAAGATGTATTAAAAACAAAGACCTAAACAATTACATGTGTTATCCACTGAATCATTTAAACAAAAATTCTAACATTTAAACCCCCAAATTTTTATTTTTTCCACAATAAAAACATTCATTTTTTCATGAAAATGTTGTTTTAAGGAGTCATACTTTAAATATAAGAAATATTATAAATTATAGCTTTACAATTTACTTTGATCAAAACATGAACATTTATACATCTATAAGTAGAAATACAGTAAACACATTTTTAAACTATATCAAAATACAAGTTACAATTTCACATATTAATAGATTCCCAAAACTCAATCTCAAAAAAACATTTTAAAGAATATACTATGATTTTTATAAAAGAAAAAAGCTTTCCTTTTTCCAAAAGTGTAGAAAATTTTACCTGTATATAGTCAATACTACTTACTGCATGGCACAAACAGTTCAAAATATAAAATGTATACTTAAAACAATCTACCGGAAAATCTTTTAAAATTTTTTGTTACTGCTTTAAAAAAATATCTATGGCTATACTGAAGTTTTACTGAGGCTTAATTTCAAATTGAAGATGTCATATTCAACTTCCAATCCTCCTCACAGATAATAACCTAGAGCCATTTCTTAGAACTAGTTTTCAGGTAATAGGTAGAGACAGGCTGTGCCATTTGTACACTTCACAGTCTTAGAGACATTTTATAACCATGATATGTGTGAGGACTTGTAATACTCTGACGTCCCTTTCAATCGGTGTCAAGATAATAAATGTGGATTTTACCCAGAGCACTAATTATTGGGGCTCTAAGCTGAACAGCATCTCCAATCTCTTTATTCACTCCTAGCTTGCGTTAAACCCCCACTACCCTGCTAGCCTATTACTTCCACCAGAATAAAAGCAATGCTATTGGTATCCATATATTTTTAGATGTATCAGAGGGTGAGAAGGCCATTACATGATCAAACTTTCATATGGCAGATATATATCTTCTATTTAGAAGAGCCCTTATTTTGAACACTATTTGAAAACTATTGCAGATGAAATTCATTTTGCTACTATGCTAGATAGGCCATGATAACTAAGGATGCCAGGAAGGCTCTCTCTAAACCTGAAGGTCTAGCAAGAACATGGACCTAAAGAAAATGTGCTGTACTTAGAAAATGTCTATTTGTTAAAGTTATAAGAGGAAATATAGCAAATGAATCATTTGGCAAAATTATCTCTATCAAATTATCTGTTCACATTACAATATCGGATATGGCAGCCCCAAACAGAGGTTAACTGATAACTGTTTTTATAACTGAATTCGTAAATAGTTTCACATAATTATATAATTATATTTTTGAAACATCACAGAAACCCAAAATGTACCTATTTGTAATCATCAGAGTTTATACACTTGATCAGGACCTAGCTATGTTCAAGGCTCCATCGAGCCCAATATTCAGTCATCATGTGTATTCTCTGCCACACAGAAAACATATGCTCTTAGTAGCCACTGAAAGATGCTGTTTTGCGTGGAAGGAAATCAAGAATTAAATATCCTCCTCCACTAGGGGAAAACTCCTACAGAACAAAAGAAAATGACAGAAGCTTCTGGAAATGTTCAGTTGGATCAATGAAATAGCATGTTTAGTGAGGGGGGGCGGGCGGGAAGGGGAAGATTGGTCTCACTGTAGCAGCAAGGTAGCCCGAACCGCAGATCATGACATCTAAAAAGAGATCCTGTTCTTTCTGTGCACTGAGAGTTATTGAAAGGCACAAAGTTCACAAACAGATATATTTTCACACAAGGGAACAAAATGACATAAAGAAACTGACCTTGTTATCAGCTTAGCAATAGAGGTGAGAGAAAAGACATTTCAAGGAAAAACTTACTAGTATTAAAGTAACTGTACCCAGCTGAAGCCCTAAATAAAAAGTGTCATTTAACACTAACAGACAAGATATAGCTGGTAACTTACATATCAAAATTCTAGAAAAATCATGGTGAGCACAACTCACTTTGTGAAATGAGATTCCATAAGCCACGAGGAATCAATCTTCCTGCATCCCCCACAAAAGGAGAAACAAACATAAATCATAATAAATGATGACTTATTTCAGGTCTAACATCTAGTGACAATTTTTTTTAACTAAAATGTTTCAATGGGTCTTAACTTTCTCATCTTTAAAAATATCAACTCTTGGGGTGCCTGGCTGGCTCAGTTTTTTAAGCACCCAACTCTTGATTTCAGCCCAGGTTATGATCTCAAAATTTTGAGATGGAGCCCCATGTTGAGATCTGCACTGGGCATGGAGCCTGCTAAAGACTCCCTCTCTCCCTCTGCCCCTCCCCTGTGTGCACACATACACACACACTCTCTAAAGAAAAGAGGAGAGGAGAGGAGAGAAAGAAAAATATCAACTCTTCCATTGTATGTCCTTCAAAGACAAATGGTATTAAGAATTAACAGATATCTGGTAATATTTCAAGAGAAATCCATGAAATAAGAAACAACAAATTACAGTCTGAGCTGGGTCCTATTTTCAAAGATGGGCAAGTACAATAAGACAATCCATATTCTATAAACTACTTTTGTTACACATTAATGAGTAAGGCGGGGTTCTGTACAGGTCTCAGATTAATGAGACAAAGAATATCAGCTTCATAGCATTAAATTTATGTGAAAAAGGAGTGGATGTCAGTACAAGTGGCACCAGAAATCAATAGAGTTATCTTAGCATTAACTCAGCATGAAAAGGGAACTACTTCTGATTTCCTGGAATACAGCCCTCACAGGTTATTATTTCTGATTACCATGGCAGCACACAGTATCTTCCATACAACACTTTAGAAGAATGCTTGGTCACACCATGGTCTGCCTTATTAAATGATCTCCGTTGAAACCATTCATTTCCATTTCTCTTACATCTATCACATGTCAAATAAGAGTGATAAGACAGTCATTTGCCCTCAATTTTCTCAATAATATAAGGTTTTAGAGAAAGTATGTTAGAACTCTAAAATAATAGACTAGTATATTTTCTCAATTCCTCTGGTCATCCTTTATTTCCACCGGGGGAAATCGATTTCTGATACTATCTCCTCTAAAGTTTAGGGGGCTTAAGGCGTTGTTCTTTCACCCCCAAAAAATCTTCTCAAACATTGTTATTTTCTGAGTAAATATCTTTCAAAAGAAAAGTTCTACGAAGACTATAAAAAAACCTTCCCTGGAGTGCTTATAAAAGGTAACATAAACATGGGTATGAGTGGAAAAAGAAACAATGGTTTAAGAACTGCTTTAAAAAAATCAAATATAAGTGGTTTCTACCCTGCCTTTTCCACCTTTCTTCACACAAACACATAGCACAACATATTTCAACAACAGTTTTTTTAAAAGTAGCAATTACAAAGAAACAAAAAATAAAAGTCAATCAATCTTTGTTTTATGAAGAGAGAAAGTAGGCTATAGACATCAAGAGGCTATAGGAATACTCCTCCTCTTACTCAGTGGATTAAAAAAAGAAACAATGCTTCTAGACCAATAGGTGGCAAAATTCATGCTTTACATCCTGAACATATCCTGCTCAGGCTGGTATAACAAAATGAAGATGCTACAAGGCAAATCACACTCTAATCCTAGTTTCACTGCATTAAGACTTTGAAAATGGGCTACAGAGCTATTTCAATCGACAAATTATATGTGGAAAAGAAAACACGGGGTAATGGGGAGCAAAATCATCTCTCTAGAAACACTCCCTTGAAACTTATTTTAAAAAGACTCTTGAATGAATATTAAGATTGATATTTTAGGTAATTTATCTTAAGCAGATCACATATGAAACTGCATTAGAAGATACCCAGAAGCCGAAATTATATTTCAAAGAATGTATTTCGTATATGTAAGACCAAACCAGAGTCTGTAACAGTGTCTAAAAACAGATTTTATGGGGTTTTGAAAAGGAAGAATGGTTCATTTCTCCAGAGATGGATCATCCACATCATAATCATTCTCGTTTCACATCACCGATGGCTCCCCAAACATCAAAGAGAAATTCATCTGGGAACGCAAAGTCTCCAAGAGTTTCGTCAAGTGCCACAGCAAATTCATCTGGATTACCTTTGTCCTTTCCAGCTTCAAACATTGTGGTAGCTATCAAAAACAATTTTTAAAAATTAATGACACATGAGACAGCATCAGAGAATGGAGAAAAATGGCACCAGGAAAATTACTTTCTAAATGTAACAGGCATAGATATATTTCTAGTACAAGTTATAACATTAATATTCTATCATATCAGGGTAGCAAATAGATTTTTAAACAATCTGTCCACTGCACCCAGATTTGCAGCTGCCACCCCTGGCCTCCCCTCTGCCTTGGAGCCCATCAGTCAGGAACCACTGCTAATCCTAGGAGCATGACAAGAGCTCCTGAAAGAAAGCCCTGTGGCTAAGCTACCAGGAAACTCCAAGGACATCATCCCTCCCCCACCTCCCCAGAGCCACTAGCTCTCTCTGCCCCCTTGACCGGTACCCCTCTCCTAACTATAATGGAATCTAGTCCTCCCCGCCCCTCAAAAGGAAAAAGGCAACGGATAACAGTTTGCAATAGGAAAATCAAGCTAAGGAGAAGAGGAAGGTATCTGTCTACTGATGGAATCAAGATAACTTTTCTGAGACCCTTTCTTGTTTAAGATAGAAAGAGGAAGTGGTGCCTTTGTCTTGTTGTTCTAGTCAATTGCCTGGACGCCTCCAGGGGCGTCCCAGGGACCTGCCCAAACTGGCTGAGGGCCCGTGAGGCTCAGGTGTTTTTTTTCCCTCAGCCCCCTATAAATACAATGTGGATGCAGTTTGGGACTTGGGTGAAGAGCTTACGGGGTAAAAAGAAACACCGAAACTCATCTTCTCCTTTCCTCCCAGGTTAAGGTGGAACAAATCAACAGTTGAAGGATTTCTCTAAATGAGCCAAGAGGTCTGGTCTTTCAGCTAAAATCCTCTAGGGCTCTTAAAAGCATTTAGGAGCTGTGTCTTATCTTAAACAGTTATGTACTAACACAGGCTGAAGGGAAGAAGGAGATTTGGTCCCAAAAAGGGCACCACAATCAGACCAGAAATGGGATGTGGCTGGAGTGATTCCATGCAGGAAGGAGGCTTCCACATGGCCAAACAACATGGTGGGAGGTGGAGAGTCCAGGTGTGGAAAGGAGGGCATGGAGGATGGGCAGGAGGGAAGGGAGGGAGAAGACATGCAGCTACAATGATGAGAGATTGGTCACATACTTGGAGAATAACCACTTAAGTATATACATTAAAAATAGTGGGAACCAGGTTTGCCACTGCCAGAAAAAAGTTAAACAGGGAAAGGGAGAAAACTAGAATGAATCCTGTGGAACCAGATCAGTGGAGACATATTTCAAAGAGAGATTTAGACACCCAGATAGCAATAAGCACACAAAGCACCCAGATCTTGGCCCTTAAATATCTTTCTCCACTAAAAAGAATCAGAGTTCGCAGGAGAAATGGCTGATTCCAGGATTGGAGCGAATTAAAATATACCAAGAGTAGCTAATCTTCTGCCAGAAAGTAAGAAACTGTCAAAAACTGATGAGAATATGTGAAAAAGACACAGAAGTCAAAGGGACAGAGCCCTCATTGATCAAACCAGGGACAATTTAAGCAACAAATTAAGTAGTGATGGTAACAGATTATAATCCCCTTGAACAAAACATGAAACTATAAATCCACAATGAAATGACTGATTGATGAATAGATGGGAGGGAGGGAGGTAGGAACATGAGGAATAGGATATTTACACAGTTTCAAAATCTCTCTCCACTAAATACTTATTACAAAGAGAATAACTTTATGGTGGGGACAATTATCAAATACCACCTTAAGTCATCAATATGAGCCATATCAGAAATAGAACAAATCAAATCCTATGCCTCCTGATAAGATGTAATGAAAAAACTACAGCATCACATTTGATATTTCTGCCAGATGTATAACCTGAATGTAATTCGGGGGTGGGGGGGGCGATCAGACAAACCAGAATTGAGGAACGTTCTATAAAATAACTGGTTTGTACCCTCCAAAAGCATCAAGGTCATGAAAATCAAGAGTGGAAAATTGTTCCAAATTGATATAAAAGTAACACATGATTTTTAACATGTCTTTTTATAATGGATGTTAAAGTATTTAGTAAAACATGCGATATGGAGCCTGCTTCTGTGTCTCTGTCTCTCTCTGTCCCCTCCCCAGCTCATGCCTGTGTACTCTCTTTCAAAAATAAATTTAAAAAAATGTTTTTAATTTAATGTGTTGGCAACCCAATAAGGTTTTTATTATACCTTTCATACAAAGATGTAGACATTAAGGCTCAAAATTTAATAATTTGCCCAAGAACTAAAGAGTCAAACTAATGAAGTTAGGACTCATACTCCCTGTGAATTCACTATTTTTGTGCCTCTCAATGGACAGTCAACCAACATTTACCAAATATTTACTCTAGGAGAGGTACTGTAGTAGAAGCTAAGATTAAAAACATAAAGTATCTGCCTTCAAAGAACTCCTCGTCTGGTAGAAGTAACAAAAATACCAATTAGGCAGCTTCACTGGTGTGTTAGAAATACTATATACTATAAACCTTTTTTAAAAAAGAACAGTAATTTGCTATATGAATTTTCAAAGAAATTAAGAATGGAGCATGCACTAAAATATGTATGCAATTTTGTCAATGAATAAAATATAAACATAAATTTTGAACATCCTTACAGGAAAAGTAAACTAGTATAATTTTATCCTTTTGGATTAAAGATTATCTTCAAAAGAAAAGCAAAATGAAACTTTAGCAAAAATGAAGCACTTTTTATAAAGCTACATCACATTAACATGACAACTATTAAAATGCTTTTTGTCTGTAACATATCTGCAATATACTGGAGTAATATTTAAAACCCAAATACAATCTGGGGGGAAAGATTCCACTGAAAAAGTGGAATTGTTATACTACATATAGCAGCTAGGTGCTGCCCTCTAGTGGTCATTTTGAAAATATCTATATCCTTCCCAAAACTGAACTGAACATCATTTATTAACGACAAACTTATTTTGGTGATATAGGTCAATTTACATTTTCCACTAAATTCTTAAATACTGAAACAAAGCTTTTAAACACATTACTGCAGATGAAAAATCTTGGCGTCTAAATCCAAAACTGAATCTCAGCTCAACTTGTTAGCTGACTTTGGGTAAGTTACCAAACTTCTCTAAATCTGTTTTCAAATCCATAAAATGACATATAGCCGGATTAAATAAAGAGTAGTGGTTAGCCATTAAAACTTTAGCTGTATCTCCTTCCACAGAGGGTTTTTAGCATTTATTTTCCTTAAGACTTTTCATAAATAACCCATTTCAAGGAACTCAAGACAGGAGTTAAATATCAAAACACAACCAATGTTGAATATGTATTTTTTAATGAAAATTTATTTCCAAAATTTCATTAGCTTTATCTGAGAAGGATGACTTTCTGTAGTGTTATTTTGAATTCGCTGAATAAAATCATCTTAAGAAAGATGATATTATGTCTACTAAAACACCACTATTGTATATTTTTAAAAGCTAAAAAAGATTTTATGAGAAAAATTAGTTAGAAACTATGATTCAAATTTCCTTTCCACACATTCCTGGATCCCTAAATAAATTAGAAAGCCTAAAGTTCTGACATTGCTAGGGTGATTTCCAAACTCCTAAATAAGTATCATCAGAACCTATTATAGTTATATATATTTCCACAGTTACCTTAAATATTCATGAAGAAGCTTATATGATACAACATTTCATTAAGTTAGATCAATCTCATATAAGGCATTACAGGACTCAAAATCTTCCAGAATCCATTCTCCCCTGAGGATAATATTCCAAGGCAACACATATCTGCATTGGGTCAGTTGAAAAGTCCTAATTCGCAGATTAACTTTACAAGCAAATAAAGCACTGTCTCCTTTGGGGTTACTTCGTAAATTCATTTCAACTATTTTCTATTTTCAAGTGGTAAATACATCCCAATGCTTTTTGAGGACAGTGTTTCGGTTTTAGCCATTATACTGTCCAATGACTTTTTTCACTTTTTAATGTAAATTTATATTAACAACTCCAGAGTAACATGATGTCATTGCAATTTGAGTGAAGACTTAACATTTCTGAATGCTAAGAATATTGAGAATAATAGCAAGCAAACATATTCATTTGGTTGTTGAATCAGTGTCACAATTGTGATTTATATTTCATGCTAATCAGATCTGAATAATGACAGAAATTCCTAATTTAACAATGGTTTACATTCTTCAAATAATTACTTTCCTTAAACTTTACCTCCCTAGATGACTGATCACATTGCTAATCATGTATAATGATAATGACTTTCCATGTCATTGGAGGAATTTGTTACAGATGATTAATTAACTTTACAATGGGATTATGAGTTAATTTACAAGGACTTTGTGAGCAATGTTTAGTGCTCTGAATTTGTAAGAGTGAAAGAAATTGATTCTTAAAGAACTGCTTCTTAATTCATTTATAATTACTCCACTGCCCAATGTTCTTCCATGTATACTTGCATATATATAGATAATACAATGTATATATTTAACTATTCCCAACTTATATTTAAGTAATATAAGGTTTCATCCAAAAAATTTTTTAAAGTTTATTTAAGAGAGAGAGCATGAGTGGGGGAGGGACAAAGAGATGGAGAGAGAATCCCAAAAAGACTCTGGCTGTCAGCGCAGAGCCTGACATAGGGCTCCATTTCATGAACCACGGGATCATAACCTGAACTGAAACCAAGAGTGGGATGCTTAACCAAGTGAGACACCCAGGCACCCTTGGCCTAGTCCCAAAATTAAGTTCTAAAGGGAGTTTTAAATTCTCCCCTTTGAAAAATGTGGTTTTAAATTTGAGTTCATCAAGATCTAGAATTGATATGGTAGTTTCTTAACCTTATAATATTCAGTTATACTGTTTGAAAACTTCTCAGCTTCTCTTCTCAATAGATATACTATTTTTCCAACAATAACAGTACTGCCATTTCTAAATCCCCTTTATCTTCATTTGCATAATTTCCATAGACCTACCTCACTTACACAAATCTCTATGTTTTTCCATATGCAAAAGGCTGAGGAGAAAAATTTTAAGATACTGGCTTTCTATAGGATAATCTCACCTTTAACTTCTTGTCTGTGTGAAGCAAGTATCTATTACATGAAAATTTTATATTATGAATCAAGGAACTAGAAAAAGAGTTTTACTTTTCTTCAGTTACAGGCAGCATCTGTATGCCCAACATAGAAAATTTTAGAAATTCAGGCAGGCAGGAAAAAATAAGAATAGACTCCATAAGAAAAAGGAAGGTGAGTTAAAGTAGAAAAGGAAGCATGAGTTTCAAATACTCTACCTGAGCTAGAGTAAAACACTTTACAGTGTTTGGCAGCAGGTGAACATAACAGTCCAAGTCTTTCGCTTAAAAAATTTTATTAAGTAGCTGATCCAAACACACACACACACACACACACACACACACACACACACACACACACACGGATGCATATAGACACAAGCCACATCACTACAATGCACATTCACTTTTTTGTCACCCAGAATCCATCTGCCCTTCTCAAGGGCACATTTTCCTGGCTTCTACGTGGGAAAGGCCAGGACTTTCACCAACTAAGCCCTAGTATTACAGTGACTCAGCTCCAGAGAGAGAGCATTTGACCCAGATCTAACCATCCTGACCCCCACCCACCCACCCCTGTCGCCTCCAACACCTCAGTCAGCCAATCAGGCCAATCAGAGTCAATCCTCAGCTTTTTGTCTGCATGACTTAGAAAAGGCCCTCCCACTCTTTCCTATCATCCTTGACACTAAAATGTAGAGGATGAGGCCATGGCCATCATTTTGACTCCATGAAGGAGGGTCTGAAGCTGCCAGGGGCACCAGGGGGGCCTAAAATGCAGCCCAAATGAAAAGAAGGGAAATCGCATCCTGATGATAGCGATCATCCTGAGAACTCCAGATCTAGCCATTTTTGAAGCCAGGATCTACCTATAGACTTTTCAGTTATTAGAACCAAAACATGTCTCCTCTTTTATTCCTTAAGTCAGTTGGAATTCAATTGGTTATTATTGTTTTGTTATTTGCAATGGCTAGTCTTACTTGATAAATCAAGACCCTGACATCCTAATGATGACATAAGAAATACACAGAAATTGAACTGCTCAACTGCCCTTATCAGTCATACACCAGGTATGTCCTTTCTCTAGATATTTCTGATTCATTGTTCACAGAGTCTCAGTTATTGTATTAAGTGTGCACAACTTCAGTCTCCTAATACACAACTTAATTGATAAAGATCTATAGCAAATACATTTCATGTGTCCTGTAACAAAATCTTTTCATATATCTATTTTAAATCCGTAAGCAAGGCTATGAAAGAAGGCCGTTTTTACAGTTTATAATTTGTAGATTAAAAAGTGAAGTTTAGAAAAGTTGACTTGAGTCTTAAAACCTTAGTAAATGGTAAAGGCCAGGTCTTTTAATTATTTTTTTATTATATTTTCATTATGTTTTTCTTATCATTCCACAAATAGTTTTTATCACTGAGTACATATGCAACACATAAATATGCACTAAATTCCATCAAATTAAGAACTATAAGACTTTTTAAAATAGTATAATCTTACCTAAATCAATATCTCGAATTCCCATGTACAATTCAAGAAGATCATCAATCTTTCCAATTGCTTTTGATTTGGCTTCAGAAGGCTTTATCAAAGAAAAGAGAAAGAAGATATTATTTTTATATGAAATCTCTTGAATGTTAAGGATAAGGGAAAATCTGATGCGGAGTTCACGGTTATGTACATCAGCTCCTCTGAATGGAAATATATCTCCAATGTGCTCTGTAATGCAATACAAATCAATACAGGAAATACTTATTTTTAGTGTCAGCGTTAAGTGCCGTGGATTCAAAGGAGAAACAGAACAGTCTCCAAGTACCCAACAACCTAGAAAGGGAGACAACTGTGAAAATAAATAACGATGTAATAATAAGGAAAACTTTTAAAGGATATAAGAGGCATCACATACAAGGTAAACTTAAACTCTCTTAGGAGTTTCAGAAGACTTGAAAAAAGGTGACTCAAAAACTGTGTTTTCAGGGGCACCTGGGTGGCTCAACAGTTAAGCGTCTGACTTCGGCTCAGGTCATGATTTCATGGTTCGTGAGTTCAAGCCCCACGTTGGGGTCTGTGCTGACAACTCAGACCCTGGCATCTACTTCTGATTCTCTGTCTCCCACTCTCTCTGCCCCTCCCCTGCTCACAATCTGTCTCTCTCTCAAAAGAAAAAAAAGACTGTTTTCAAAGATAAACTGGTGGAAGACACGCAGGGACGTTACTGCAAATAGAAGTATTGCAATAGAGGCACCTGGCTGGCTCAGTTGGTGGAGCAAGTGACTCTTGATTTCAGGCATATGAGTTCAAGCTCCACATTGTACATAGAGATTACTCAAAAATAAAATCTTAAAAAAACACACACACAAAACTATTGCAATTGGGGCACCTAGATGGCTCTGTTGGTTAAGTGCCAGACTTCAGTTCAAGTCATGATCTCACGGTTGGTGGGTTCGAGCCCTGGGTCAGGCTCTGTATTGACAGCTCAGAGCCTGGAGCCTGCTTCAGACTGTGTGTCTCCCTCTCTCTCTGCCCCTCCCCTGCTCACGCTCTGTGTCGCTCTTTGTCTCTCTCAAAAGTAAACAATTTAAAAAAACACCAAAACCTATTGCAATAGACCTGCAAAAGTCTACGTGAAGTCACAGAGTCTGATAAAAAAAAAAAAAAAAAGAATATACTCAGCCAGGACTCGGTCTTAAGGGGTCCTGTATGCTGTGAAAAGGGCTTTGGTCTTCATCATGTAGATGAAGGGTCTCCAAACCTTTTAATGGCTCACCCCAAGGGTAAAATATTTGTGAACACATACTCTTATTATTTTTTATTTAATTTTACTGTACTGGTGAAATAACGTTCTGGACCCAAGATGGAGCCATGCTGTCCCAAGTGTCATTCTTGTCCTTGTAAATACTCTGCTTGACCAGAAACGCAGTATAATCCAGTCAGCCAACCCCCAAGCATCAAGCCAACCCTGGGACTCCTCACACCAAACAAGATTTACTATGTGGGCCCAGACAATCATATATTTTCTATTTTTCTCTTACTTGTTCTTTCATCTTTATCCTATAAATCTTGTCTTCTACCCGATTTTGCAATTCTCTGAAAGGGGACTGTCCACTTCATGAATAAGTTTTGTTTACTATCCCCTAAATTGTCTTTAGTTCTTAAAAATTTTATTTGTGACAACACTTTGTTTTTATTTTTTTTAAGTAAGTTCTACACCCAACATGGGGCTCGAACTCACAACCCTAAGATCGATAGCTCAAACTCATGGCCATGAGATCAACAGTCGCATGCTCCACTGACTGAGCCAGCCAGGTACTTCTTTAATCATTTTTTAACAGTATATATCTTTCATAAATTAAACACATGTGATACTGTATTATTATATATATTATAAAAATACATATAAATGTTATAAAAGGAGAAGATGATGAAACAATAGTTAATTTTTATATATTAATGGTACCAAAATATTTTTGTTCTTCCTAAAATCCTTATTAAAGGTTTCAGTGAAAAACACAATTGGATACATTTTATTATTCTTTGAAAATCTTGGTTTAATGTTGCAGAGTTTGTTTCTACATTGAGTTTATTTCAATACTTGGTTTAAATGGCTTTATAGCTAAAACAGAAATTACCCAAAGATGTAAAATAATCAACTACTGGTACAAATGCAGAATTCAAGATTAGATTGTAAGAAATTCATAATGTTTTTAATACAGTTATAAATATATGTTGCTTTGTATTCACCAAACTTATTAAAAATATGCATTTTATTACAAATACCATTTTATTTTTATTTCCTTGAGGATATTATTACAACTTTCTCATGTTTTTATTTATATGAACTAAGCCTTAAAAACAATAACAGGTACAATATACCACTCTTGACTTCTTTATGGTATATTTTGGATGTGCTGTGTAAATCAACAGACCATCCAAAGTAACGTCACTGTTCACCTTTGTATCCAGCCAGCCATACTGTTAAGTTTTCATAACAAGTATCAGTACTTCTCATATACAGTTTTCCCATTCTACCCCCTAAATAGCTCTTGATCTCATCACCTCTTACCCACTTACATTCTGATTGTCTGGGTTTAGCCCTCAATTTTTTCATATTTACAGAAGTTTCCTAATTTTTCTCCCTGCCTGCAATCTTCACCCTCTTAAACCACCTTGCTCAACAATTCATCCCTTAGAACCAAGGGATTTTTCTAAAATACAAAACTATATTGCTCTTCTCACAGTTCTTAAATGGCTTCCCCATTTCCAAAGACCTTTCACATCCCGACCCAGGCCTCCTCACCCCCAACCAGGTCGTTCCAGCACCCCACATTCCAATCCCATGGAGGTTTACAACGTCCCCGAGCCCATCAGTTTTTCAGGCCTAGAACACTCTTCTCCCCATCTTTAACCAATTCAACCATTTCTTTAGGATAGAAATTCCTTCCCACCTCTCCCTCTCTCCCCATCCCGGAGAGAAGCTCAGCATCTCTCCTCTGACATTAACCTTATTCCCTGGTTTTTAATAGCTTCTTTCAACCCCTCTCTCTTTAAAGGAAAGACAGGTTTTTATTCATCTTTGTATCACCAGCACCTGGACTGGGCCTGTTTTAAGAAATACATACCGAATAATTTATGAGGTGGAGTATCTTCCATACTTTTCAGAATCTGTGCCAGGTTGTAAGGAGGTGATTTGTTTTTAGATCTAAAAATCCTTTAGATTATAAGTCCTTTGCACCAAATTTAATATTAGCACCAAACTAGCCTTTTCCTTTGAATTGAGCTATTTTCAATTACCCTATTTAAGGAAATAGGCTATGCAAACAGGAATGGAATTTTAACTTTTTTTTAACGTTTATTTATTTTTGAGAGACAGAGAGAGACCGAGTATAAGCAGGGGAGGGACAGAAAGAGGGAGACATAGAATCCTAAGCAGGTTCCAGGCTCTGAGCTGTCAGCACAGAGCCTGATGTAGGGCTCAAACTCATGAACTGTGAGATCATGACCCAAGCCAATGTCAGATGCTTAACAGACTGAGCCACCCAGGTGTCCCTAGGAATGGAGTTTTAGATGTTTATCGTCAAATGAATCTTTCCTACCTCCCCAGACAGATCTTCAGCTGCTCTTTTTCATGCCAGCATCTTATAAATAGCAGGTGCCCAACAAATACTAATTATGTTAACGAATCAAAGATGACCCTGCTCCTGAAGTGACATGGAGTCTTCTGCCTGCCTCTGCCCCCTTTGCAAGTAGTCTTAGGACCTGTCCTTTGCTCCTCAAGCCTGGACTAGAAAACAGTGGGCATTCTTCTGGCTGTCATGCCAGCTCCCTCGGTCTTCCACTCTCTCCCAGATTCATTTCTTCTACTCAGGTTTGTTCATTCATATGATAAACATTTACTGGCCTGCAGCAATGTGTCCAAGAGTATGCTGGATACTGGGAGCACCTGAATGGCTCGGTTGGTTTAGCATCTGACTTAGGCTCAGGCCATGATCTCAAGGTCTAGGAGTCTGAGCCCAGTTCGGGTAAGCTCAAGCCCCAACTTCAGGTGGCGCCCCCCCCCCCGACTTATCTCTCTCTCTCTCTCTCGCCACGCCCCTCTCTGCCTCTGGCTCACTTGCACTCTTCCCCCCGCCCCCAAAAAATGTGCAGGACACTGGAAAGGCAATAAGTCAGAATTACCAGAAGTCACTGCCCTGAGTTTTTCACATACCTCATCAGATCTCATTTGTAAACTGCTTTTGGCTCTCCCCGTCCTCTTCCTGGCCCCTTGCCTCCACATCAATCCTTTCATTCACTATACAAGACTAAGGTACCTGACTGAGAAGCCTCCTCTGGATTCCCCCAAACTGACAACATTGTAGGTTATTCAAACATTCGAAAGCACAACCTTGGCCTCATGATTCCTGGAGTATCTGCTCCTCTGCTCCAACAAACCATCTCTATGATGGATCCTGGACATCGTCACCCAACAAACTCTGGGATCCCACTCTGTGAAAACCTGCTCTTCAAGCACACGGAGAATCCTGGGCCGATATGAACTAGCCAGCTCTGGTGCCTGTGCCCTGCCTGCAGGAGCCCCCTCCCCTCAGACACGCCTGACCTCTGCTTGGCCTACAGGGGGACATCGTCACCACTGTCTTCCCTGGGTGAGCAGACCACCACGTGCCACCCAGAATCCTTATTACCCCTGCCACCCTTAACCCCTGCTGTTCTCTCCTTTCACCCTCCGTCCCTCCACTGTTCTCTCTCCTTTTGGTGTTTTTCACTTAAAAACTGACCAAGCCAATCAGCAAAAGCCTACTCTTCTCAAGTTTAAATAACTGTTGATTAATTCAGCAAAGATTTGAGCTCCTTTGATGTGTCCGGTACTCTTCTAGGTGCTGTGGTTACAACAAGGACACGACATGTGAGCAAAGGAACTAAACAGATAAGAAACAAAGATATGATGTTTCCTATTGTGCTTAGTGCTTTAAAGAAAATTAAGGGCAAGGAAGAGTGGGCAGGGGAGGGGGTATCAGGAATTGCTACTTATGCAAGATACTCAAAGAAGGCCTTTTAGATAAGGTGATATGTGAAGAGAAAACTGAAGAAGTCAAGGGAGTGAGCCATGCCCGTAAGTGGACAGGCAGAGGTAACAACAGTACAGAGACATTGAGGTGGGATGCATCTGGAATATTTGGGGACAGCAAGGAGACCCATGTGGCTGAAGCAGCAAGAGCTAGGGAGTGGTAGGAAATGAGATCAGGGAAGAAATGTAGAACCAGATCATGCTGGTCACTCCAAGGACTTCAGCTTTTATTCTGAGTGCAATGGGAACACACTGGAGAGATTGGAACACAAAAGTACCCACTTGTATTTTTAATTCTGGCTGCTATGCTGAGCACAGAGGGAAAGAGGGCAAGGGTAAACACAGGAAGACTGAGTACAAGCTGACTACGATAGTCAAGACAGGATGTAAGTGCCTTGGGCCAGAGTGAGGAGGCAGAGGTGGTGAGAAGTTGCTGGATTACGGTCTATTGTGGAGGTAGACACACCAGGGTTTGCTGATGTAAGGGACACTGGACATGAAAGATAAAAGTCAAAGATGACTAGGAAATGTTTTATCTGAGGAGACTGGAGTTCACAATTATAATCTTTAATTATTAAAATGGTAAGTATGCCTGCTACTACCAGTGGTTCTTAGACTTTCTCTTGGCTCTCAGAGAACTTTGGTTAAGTGTTTGAGCAAGTCCAGATGTCTACAGACTCTAGCAAATGTTCTCTGCAGAACCTGAAGAGGGCCATAGGTCACAATTTCTTCTCTCGTACTTACTTCCTATGTTTCCTTCTTAAATGCTTTCAGTAATTTTCATATTATTAAAGTAGGCAATGAATTAAAGTCCTTGCTTTAGCATATACAGTATTTTGTTTAACGTTGCTGCTTTACCTTTTTTCCAGCTGTAATAAACATGAATATCCACACATTTCCCAGCAGAATGGAAGTTAAATAAACATAACCTACCATTTCTTCCACAGTGGCAGGACCCTTTGATCTCAGGCGAAGTGTCTCTCTTCCAGTGCTAATTTTTCCTGCTGATGACTTTCCAGCTTTGGACCTTGGCTCTATTTCTATAAACATACAATAGATAGAGAAAAGTGTGTATATTCAGAAAGAATTTCAACATATTTCTATAAAAGTGAATGTATTTTCCATCATAAAACTATATACACAATTAGACACCTGATAGAAGACATGTCTTATTATAGAATTTCCTAAACAAAATAAATTTGCCTGCCATTGTTATTCTTATATTCTATATACAGTACGGCTACAAAAAGAAAAGGGAAGGGGCGCCTGGGTGGCTTAGTCGGTTAAGCGTCCGACTTTCACTTGGGTCATGATCTCGCGGTTTGTGGGTTCGAGCCCCGCGTCGGGCTCTGTGCTGACTGCCAGATCGGAGCCTGGAGCCTGTTTCAGTCTGTGACTTCCTCTCTCTCTGACCCTCCCCTGCTCACGCTGTCTCTCTCTCTCTCTCTCTTAGAAATAAATAAAAACATTAAAAAAAAAAAAAAGGGAAATATTTTAAATATAGTTGGAAATCACTACAAGTTATAAGGAACAAAAAATAAAACAGTTGGCTTTATTATAATAAAGGGGCATAAGTAGCAGAAGAGCTCGGGCAGAAGCTCAGCTGGACTTCATTAAGGTCATGAAGGAAGAGTCATATCTGGATAGAAGAGAGGGGTGAAGGTGCTACTATTGGAGTATCTACCATCTGCTTGATGCTCTATATGCAAAATCTCATTTAATACTCATACCAGCCCATGACGTAAGTTATAGCCCTCACTTTACAGAAAAGGAAATTGGACTCAGTAAGGAACAGAGCTGGGACTCAAATCCAGGTCTTGTGACCCCAAGTCTGTATGCTTCCCTCAATGACACTCCAACACTGAACCTCTTGCAAACACAAGGGATATATTCAGAGGTGTCGACCTGAGAGAAGCAGGATTCTAAAGAGGCTAGGAACAAGTTTCAAGGAAGGAATTCCCCTCAGAAGGTAGGCAAAAGAACAGAGAACAGGGGTGCCTGGGTGGCTTAGTCGGTTAAGCATCCGACTTTCGCTTGGGTCATGATCTCGCGGTTCGTGGGTTCGAGCCCCGCGTCGGGCTCTGTGCTGACTGCCAGCTCAGAGCCTGGAGCCTGTTTCAGTCTGTGACTCCATCTCTCTCTGACCCTCCCCTGCTCACACTGTCTCTCTCTCTCTCCTAGAAATAAATAAAACATTAAAAAAAAAAAAAAGAACAGAGAACAAAAATCCATGGAAAGCCACTGCTGTCCTTATGCTTGTTGGGTTTTGTTTGTTTGCTTTTCCTGTACACCAAGAGTCACCCAATACCAAGTAGTGACATAAATGAGTGAAACGGTAGGGTGGAGACTGAGGATAACTCCAAAGTATGTGCCCTATCTAGGCCAATAACTTATTGCCCTGGGGAAATGTAGGCCCTGAAGAGTTGAATCCACTTGTTTGCAAAGAAACTGGATCCTCAGTTCTCTATGAATCTCCTGATTTTTAAGTTTTGCCAATTAAGTCAAACCTTTAAAAAGAATGTATTAGCAAAAATAAAAGATCTGTGGATCCAGTTCTAGTCACAGGCTACCAAATTATAACTTAGCAAATATCCCCGAGTACCCTTGACTGTGAGGACTCTGTAGCAGCAGTTTGGAACAAAGTACAGAGGTGGGGGCAGGGAGATGCCCTACCACCAACTGGAGATAACTGAGCTCCAATGAGGAGCCACAGGACAGGCTGGTACATGCAAGTAGGTAGTGACAGATGTACAAAGTTCTCAGGATGGACATAAAGTGCCTGCAAATATGCATTCTTACTGACATAGAATCCCATCTTCAGCAAGTACCGTTTTGCTATTGGGAATCTAGTCCAAAGAAATTAAGGATTTTACATATTAATTTTAACCTACAGTTGGGGACAGAATTACCAAAACATAAAACAAGTTTTCCTCTGGGGCACCTGGGTGGCTCAGTGGTTAAGCGTCCGACTTTGGCTCAGGTTATAATCTCACAGTTCATGAGTTTAAACCCTGCGTCGAGCTCTGGAGACTGCTTTGAATTCTGGGTCTCACTCTCTCCAAAATAAACAAACATTTAAAAAAAAAGTGTTCTCCTTGGAGAACTAAATTATCTAAAATTATCACACAATAAAGAGACCAGTTCTAAGCTGATGACACTAATACTAATCATGGTGATCAGACAGATTCTCCAGAAACCAGACCTTTATCAGCAAGTCTACTGCATTTGCCTCGCCAGTCATACTGTGCCCTGAGGGAAGAATGAATCAATGGAAGATGTTCAGCACAGAATTTCCGGAAGCATGCCCAAAGAAAAAGATGAGGTCTGTCATCAGCACTGCCCAGCAATGTACTCCCACCTCAGAGTCACATACAGACCTAAAGCAAAGACAGTCTCAGCTTAATGATATTAACCTTCAAGATAAACAACCTTACACCAACCACACCCTGCGCGTGCACGCACACACACACACACACACACACACACACACACCACTACTGTGATTTCACAAAGCAACCTACTCAGTATAACCTGTCTTCCAATAAAAATTTCCTACAGAGTGGAGAATGAACTGCTCAGCTAACATAGGTGTTTTGGTGTACCACTACGCACACATTTCTAACTATAAAATACTACACTAGCATTCTGACTTAACAAGTCTCTTGGAAGTTTAGTGAGCATGATATAACCCTGGAAAATTGAATGACTCTAATGACAGTGAAAATAAAAGGTTTCTGAGGTTTTCAAAGCTAAGGACCCAGTCTCTAGAATATGGGAGCTTTATCAAGAGACTGTCATCCAGGCTGGAGATGTCAGCCAGCTTCCCTAGGTAAAGTCTCTATCTTACCTTATTCTAACAACACCAATACCTAAAAGGGAAAATGCATGTAGAATGGAAGGGTTTTTTTTTTTTTTTAAGAAGTTTTTTTAAGGTTTATTTTGAAAGAGAGAAAAAGATAGAGAGTGAGCTGGGGGGGCGGGGGGGGGCAGACAGAAAGAATCCCAAGCATGCTCTGTGCTGACAGCACAGAGCCCAACTCGAAGCTTGATCCCACAAACCATGATATCATGACCTGAGATGAAATCAAGAGTCGGGTGATTAACCAACTGAGCCACCCAGTCGCCCCTGGAAGGTTTGTTATTTTTTTAAGGAACTTTTATTTTTTAAAGAAGTTTTAGGTTCACAACAAAACTGAGAAGTCAAATTTCCCATATACCTCCTGCCCCCACATATGTACAGCCTTCTCCTTTATCATCATTCATTACCACAGTGGTAAATTTGTTACAATCAACAGACCTACACGGACACATTATTGCTTGAAGTCTGTGTTTACGTTAGCGTTCACTCTTCATGTTGTACTTTCTATGGATTTGTAAAATTTATTCACCATCACAGTAGCATACAGCATTTTTTAATGTTCATTTATTTTTGGCAGAGAGAGTACAAGCAGGGAAGGGGTAGAAAGAGACAGGAACAGAGGACCCAAAATGGGCTCTGTGCTGACAGTAGCAAGCCTGATGTGGGGCTCGAACTCACAAACTACGAGATCACAACCTAAGCTGAAGTCAGACACTCAGCTGACTGAGCCACCCAGGTGCTCCAGTAGCATACAATCATTGTCCTAAGAATCCTTTGTGCTCTGCCAACTCACCCCAGATATTTTTGAAGTTATTATTTGTCAAGCCATCTTTCTCCATGAGGATAGTTATCTCAAAACCAACCACTAGGTGGCACCAAATATTAAATTTTAAGTTCTGGCTTGGATCAACCTCCAGAAAGACAGCTTTTACAGCAAAGGAAGGAGAAGCCATGTTTCTCTATGATCCTATGATTCAGGGATGTAAATCACCAGTTTAAACATGAAAACAGGCAGGATGATCCAGTTTACCCGCAGGGGGAATAAAAAAACAAGTTCTGTCTGTCTGTGCTGAATGTTTTGAAGACTGTGAATGTTTTTCATCTGGCCTACTTTTGGCTGCTGGCCTAAGCATGTCTAACCAATGAGGCCAAGCCCTAAGTCAGTCACTTCACTTCCCGTGAACAAGTATACACGAGGCCTCTCTTGAGGCTGAGTGAAGAGAGAGACACAGTTGGTGCAGTAGACACTAGTAACCAGCCTGCAGCTAGCTGGATTCACTAGATGCAGGGCTCCTCAAGTGTGAACCTCACTCCCGTGAAGCATACAGACTACCCACCTGCTGCAGATGACTTAGAGCACAGGACACACACAGCTGTGGTTACACAGCTGCTCCCATAGTTGAGGTGGAGGTCACCAAGAAGCAGTAACATTTGTTCCCAAGCCCGTTTTGTGACATTTGTATCTGTTACTCTAATTATGTAATTTAATTTAAAAAGTACATGCACTGCTGAAGTAAGTGTGAACCAAGAAGTTATTATTGCTATGAAAAGTAGGTTAACAGCTTTGGAAAGATTCCATGAGGGTAGATCAAAGAAAAAATTAGGTATGAGCAAGACAACACTAGGAGATTAGGAAAAATATCTTTCAACGTTCAGCATTTCACAGATCTAGTTTTTAAAAATGAAACAGAACCCATAGATATGCATTAAGATTGTAATTATAGAAGACTCCACACAACTCCGATTTTTGTCCTCTACTCAAAGGAATTTTTACATCAAAAAAATAGTAAAAGAATGTATAGGTTTTAAAATAAAATATTTATACACACTAGTATCATTCTTTATGATACCCCATTTTAATGGGCATTTTCAATAAACAGCTCACCCTCCAGTCTCTGCTGTACCATGAAGTGGAGGAAGGGGGAAGCAGAGAAGACAAAGATGTCTGTCTCTACTCCCACCCTGACCTCTTGAAAAATCAGAGGCTGACAGAAACTAACACCCTGTTTTCAGGAGCAGCACATACAACATGGCTTTGATTCCCACCTGACAGAGTGTCAGAATGGGCACTCTCCTCACTTCTGCAGAACAAGTCCTGGTCTGGCCCCACAAAGGCCCTACTTGGCCTACAATACGGACCATCACTTTCATAAGGAGGGCCGGTGCCAGCATGTCAACAGG